ATTGCTCTTGTATATAAACCTCTTTCATATATATATATATATATATATACCAATAATGAAAAAAAATAAATAAAAATGAAATACTAAAAGAAAACATGGTCAATCTCTTTATCATTTCAAACATTTTTATAGCTCTAAGTATGGCATGAAATCTAAACATCATAAATAGAAAGTTGGATAAATTAACATTTCTAAAAAGAAAAACCTGAATGGCAAAAAACCCAAACCCCAAGACAACATGTAGTAGATACTATGTATGGCCTGTCCCCTCCCTATTCTGACCACCATTTCCTCACTGCGTGGCTGGTGTTCAGTTGGTTTGAGGGGAAGCGCTACCATCTTCCCACCTCAAATTCCAAGGGCGAGACCTGATGGTGGGAGCCCATCAGGACTTGCCCTGGCCCTTGCTGCAGTGATTCGCTCAGGTAACTCCGGTCGAAGCACGGCACATGTGGCACAGCTACGGTCACCCCCTTTTTGGAGCACGACCTGTTTCTTGGAGAATTATGGGACAGAAGGAGGGGTTTCTGAGCAGCGTGGTATGATGACCAGCCTGAACACACTGTGGCCCCTGGCTATGTGGAGGCCAGTGAGATTTGGGAAGCTCTGGATCCCATAGAGAGCGGAGTAGAAGGAAGGCAAGAAACCAGGCCTTCGACTCTTTCAGTCATTGAATCAAAGCACTCCTGAAGCCCCACACTTTATTTCTTGGGCGTTCAGCCAATTAAGCTCCTTTTGAATTGCTTTTTGTTGGTGGTGGTGTTGTTGTTACATGTAACATAACAAGTTCTAACTGCTACAACTTCAGAATGCGTTGAACAAGTTCACCATAAATCCCTGCACAAACTCAAAGGGCAAAGTGACAAAAAGACTTGCTAAGCATGCGACGAATCATGAAATTTAAAATAAAGGTCGAATGTAGAAGATCCATATTCGGCAATTTACCAGCGGCACAGACGACCAATCGAATCACGCCACGGTGTGACAGTGACACCATAAGCCCAGAGCGCAGTACCTTCCCGTTTATTAGGGGGTTTAGTTCTCTACAGACGTGCACCGCTCCGATCTTGGTTTGCTAGAGTGAGGAGCAGATCGCCACCAGGGGAAAATTAAGAGGTGTGTGAGAAACCAAGATACCAATCTAATTTCTGATGGAGATAAATTAGATACCAATCTAATTTCTGGAGACCAGAGAGAGACACACATGCCTGCCAGCATGGCTAAGCAGAGGTGCTGTGTGTGGACAAACGCACTGTCCCCTCAGCATGCTGTACCCAGTCGGTTTCCCTGGTCACCCCACGGTTCTGTGAGTTGTGTGTGGCCATGAGTTCTGGAGCCCGTCAGATGAGCAGGTTTGGGGGGGCGGGATGGTCGGTGTGAGGATAGGGTGAAGGATGGAGGGTCGAGGCCTGTCTGGCCTCTGCCTTGCGGCAATCATCCTTGGGCCAGTGTGGAGTTGGATTCTCCTCTCTGGTGCAGCTAGAGGTCAGGCACAGCCCCATGCCATGTCCTCAGTGCCCACGTGCCATCCATTGGGCTAGGCGCTGCAGGGTGTTCCTAACCGGGTATGCCATGGGTGGCTCCGGCCTTCAAAGAACTCATTACCTAAGAGGAACATGGGGAGGGTACAGGCACTCAAAAGCCACCCCCCCCACCCACCCACCCCCGCCCTCCGTCTCTCTAGGCCTCCTGTCTCTTTGCAGGACCTTGCTCCCCGTATCAGCTTCTCCTCTCCATGTCCCTGGAAGGCTCCCTCCAGGCCTTGGGGCCCTCCTGCTGCCCCGCACCGGATGCCGGTTTCTCTTCCTTCCAGATAGAAAAAAAAAACCCAAGAAAATAAAAGAGGACTCAGAGTTCTTGATCTTTTGCCTACGTCTATCCTTGCTGCTAGTGTCTAGATAACCCTTTAACCTTCCAGTTTGTCCCCGGGAGGATTGGCGGAAAACATCTTCCCTAACACTTTGGCAATATATTTGTGTGTGTGTGTGTGTGTAATGGCCCACCCGAAGGAGCTGGAGAAGTCTTTGCCTGGCACAGTCATGGGCCCTTTCCCTTTGTCCATGGGAATGGTGTTTACCCAACAGACTTCTCTGGAGAAGGGACTCGCTGGCGAGGGCAGGGCCTGACTCCATCAGCTTTAAAAAGCAGTGCCCCGTGGCACAGACAGAAAGAACAGCCATCTACCCGGCTTAACCTGAGCCTTGTAACAGAGAGGGGAGTGTGTGGGGCAAACAAGAGGGAGATCCAATTAATTACCCTTAGAAGCAAAGGTAAAAGTTGAAGATGACGAGACCGATTTACAGGAGGAAATAGACCCGGCATTGAGCTAGAGAATGGCAGGATTGTTTGGGGCCAGAGAAGCCTCTCGATGTTCGCATTCCGTTCCTTCTCTGGAGCTCTGCAGAGAGGAAGGTCATGGCTTGGGCTTGGAAGGTACACATGAAAGTGGGTTCAGATTGGGAGGGGGGCTGTTGTCTTGAGTCTCATTCTGGGGTTGCAGGCTGCCCCCAACCTGGGTGGGTGGAAGAAGGGCTCCAATCCTCTCTGGGAGCCAAGGCGGGCAGGCCCAGGAAGGGGCGCCCCCTGTGAGAGAGGCCCAACCATTACCATTACAACGGCTAATGTCACAGACCCCACAAAGCAGCCGGGCCCCAAATGCAGGGTAACCCTAACCCCACCAGTGATTGAAACAGATAGAGGGGTAGCTCTCCCACACAATGACCGGCCCCCGCACATTTCTCCTCCTCCTCCTTGCGCTTCCTCAAGAGCCTTTGTCTTCTAGTCCCTTGGGTCTGGAGGCTCTTTTTCTCATTCCCAGGTAAACACTGCCCATGAAAATTCAAAACAAGGCCTCTGGGGAAAGGCTCCAGCCCTTTTGCCCCCTCCCTCCCTTCTCCATCTCCCACTAGCTGTTCCCCACCCTCACCTGCCTGGTGAGAGAGGAGAGGAGCAGGCTGCTTCGCATCCTGTCCTTGTTTTTTATTTGTTTTCTTTTCCTCAGACCCCGCCCAAGGGCTGCCAGTCTCTCTCTGGATCAAGCTTTGGCCCTGACATAACATTCAGTGACAAGAAATGCTATGGGTGAGCCTGTTGCAGTTTGATTTTGATAGCCCAAGTCTCTCTGTTCTGGGCCTTGTTATTGGTAATTTCCCAGCCAGCTCTCTGCATTCTCAAAAGTGCGGGGTCCTCAGTTCTTTATTGAGTCCCCACCGAGTTTGGGAGAAAAAGCTAGAACTGGAGGCTGTGGGTATTCAGCTTGTGACCTGGGGTGGTAGAACTGCAGGCCTTGCAAACACTCCTGGCAAACTGCACGAGAGGTGACTGCTTAGAGCAGTGGTTCTCAAACTTCCTAATGCCGCGACCCTTTCATACAGTTCCTCACGTTGTGGTGACCCCCAACCATAACATTATTTTTGCTGCTATTTCATAACTGTCATTTTGCTACTGTTATGAATCGGGCGACCTCTGTGAAAGGGTCGTTCGACCCCCAAAGGGATCACAATCCACAGGTTAAGTACCACCACTGACTTAGAGCTTGTGGCCTTTCCTCACAGAACTGTTGACGTTTCCACAGGGATTTGGTCCTGATTCAATATTTCGGTCATCTATTTTAGACATTGATGAAAGCTATGAGCTTTTTTTCCCTCCAGAACAGGGGGGTGCAAGACTATCTACACGGGTGTACACACACATGCACTACTTCAAGGGTTTATAATCTCCAGGCCAGGCATTCCTGAGTTCTAGAGAGAGGGACACGTTTTGGGATCAAGCTGAAAGACTAGAAGGTTTGAGTGGCATTGAGGGGCAGATTCTAATCCAAGCCAAGCAGCCCTGGTGGTGCAGTGGATTAAATGCTGGGCTGCTAACCACAAGCTTGGCAGTCACCCGACCCGTCACCCTAAGGGAGGAGAAAGAGGCGGCTGCTTGTGCAGTCTTGGAAACCCTAAGGGGCAGATCTACTGTGCCCTGCAGGGTCAATCTGAGCTGGAATCCACCCGATGCACTGAGTCATGAGTCTGTTGTGGGATTCGAGGTGCGGGAGGGAAAGGTCTTAAATAGTGCACATGCGACAGCTACTAAAATCTACCCATGGCTCACCCAAGTCCGGTCCTGGCTAACCCACTTTGACACTTCTATTGTTCCTTCACTTAGGCTTCACAACGACCCTGGAAACTTGGGCCTATCATTCCCCTCTGATGATGAGGCTTGAGGTCTGAGGTTAACGTATAGTTCAGGGTCATGCAGCTGCTGAACTGTAGAGCAGGGATCAAAGCCCAGTTTCAGTAGTGAAGACTTGTTACTGGGGGAAAACAAACAAACAAAAAACCAGTTTCCAGTCTATTCCCGGTGGCTTTTGTGCCAGCTGAAGGGCTACCCGGCAGGCTGTGGCTCCAGGGTGTCTCTGACCTTACTCACTACCGTTCCCATTGTGCCTACCAGGCTCTTCCCGACCCTCCCTGCCCACAGCAGGCTCATGCCAACGTTCACCCACAGCTTCATAATGTTAGGACTGTGTTCCCTCACGGGCCCGGCCCTATCTGCCCTGATGGCGCTCTTTCCTGCACCATGAAACCTTGCCCACCCCTCCCCCCACCGAAATCAGTTCACCCGGTAATTAATTATCTCGTGCCCTGTCATCTGGGGCACCACCTTCACCGGCAGGACCAGTGTCCCAAACACACTGGACCCCATGTTGCTGAGTCCAGGAGCCCGCACAGTGTAGGCAGCTCCAAAGCGCTTTCTCTCGATCAGGGCAATGAGGCCAGTGTGACTGTACACATGGCCGGCTTCGGGGTGGGGGCAAGTGGAGGGACCCAATCCAGTCATCAGGGATATTTCCAGAGCCACGGAACGAACTTGCCTTGTCTGGCAGCAGGCAGGCAGGCAGGCTTGCTCCTTCCCACCAAGCTTCTCAGTCCACTTGACTGGGGTGCAGTATGCCACCCAGCTGCATGGTGCACAAAGGGAAGGGAGAACAAACAAAGGATGAGACCACACTGTGGCTTTTTAAACAGGTTCTTGGTGCTCTTGTTTAATAGCAGTTACAAGAGGAAATGTACAGGAGGAATAAACATGCTCTTTCCACAGTGGCTTCCCATCGACCACACGCCATCCGCCTCAGCAGCTTTTCTACTGAATTTTAAAGAAAAGAGTCTACCTTAGAGTTACAAAGGGGCTTTTCTAAATTTCCCTCATAAATATACAACTATGTATGCAAAATAAAAAGGTAATTTCCCAACACAGTAGTGAAATATCATTGTAAACACAGGCGAGGAAAAGAAAAAAAAGGCAACTGAAGCCACCAGGATGGGTCCTGGGCAAAGGGAGGGGAATTTCTGCAGCAGGCCCCAGAGAGTGTGTTCAAAGGCCTAATGAGGAAGGTCATGGCCAGCGCCAGTCTCGGGGGATGAGGGCCCTGGGTGCGGGGCATGTTGAGAAAGCCCTTGTCGAGTGTGCAGGGAAGCTAGGCTGATCTTGAGACCTGGAAGACTGGCAGGCCTGGGACACAGAGAAGTACTGGCGAGTGCTTCCCGGGAGCTTCCATTCCATCTGCTGGGTCCAATGTCAAGGTCCTGTTCTTCCCTACCCCAGCAGGTTCACTTCTGTATCGTCTGCTCGGGTTTTCCTATGAATGGTAAAACTGTGAGGATGCCTCTCTGGCCACTGAAAGCCAGGGGGTTCCCAAACTGACTGTGCCTTCAGGACCTGGTTTCCCCAAGAACTTGGCCAAGGATGCAGACTGACTGGGCAGCAGGTGGGCCGCGGGCACCCATATTCTTGTCTTCTTATCGACACCGCCAAGTCGTTTCTGTATCTCTGGACATTTAAGGGTAAATCTTAGCAATCTGTGGGGTGTGGGCACACATGGTTAACACTAGTCTTCTCAAGGCTGACCCAGGTATATTGGCCTATAGACAAAAGACTGAACAAGCAAAACAAAACAAAAAACCAATTTACCCACCTAAATAACTTCGATATCGCTGGTCCCCAATGTTACCTTTTTCTGACCATCAACAGTAGCTATACATAAAACTGGGTAGTATGTTGTTTTGTGCTAGGGAGGGGTGATGGCAGACTGAGAGGCAAGGGGAGAAACACCAAAGAGCCCATCCATATAAGCCTTGAACTTGAATCAACTTTTCCTGTGGAGAGACTTTATGTGTAAGGCGCAGGGAATCCCCATTTCTCTGTCCTATTCACTGCTTCCTCTACACCACAGTCCTTCCACAGTCGAGTTCTGAGACAACATCAGCAATGATGGCTCTCTGACGAAGAATGAAACTGTAGCATGCATAAGATCCTTTCTCCATTGCAATGTCGCAGTACTCAGAGCTGAACAGATCATGCCCCCAAACACGGGGCTAGTGAAAGAGGGTATTCTGGGTCCTTCCTATGCAGCAGGACCTCAGGTTGGCCCAGCAATTTCTTGCTGTTTTCAACAAAATCCAGAGCTTGGGAGAAGAAGGCATCCTGTGTCCCACTCCCACAAGCCCCTGCCTTTCCTCAGTGCATGGAGTTTGGATAGCAGCACTCATCCCTGGCCTCCATCCAAAGTCCTCATTGTAAGACCAACAACGTGGTCTTCTGCTTGAGCCTTCGCAGACGTCCGCAGAGCCCCTATGCCTCTCCTATGGGCCCTCAAGTCCACGTGCTTATCCTCTTCCTCGTTGTGATCAGATCTGATGGGGCCGCAGGTGCACGGTGAAAAAGGAAGGACCGCCTTCCCCAGAAGCAACTTAGCAGCTGATAAAAGTTACGGGAATTCTGTTTGATGAGTCTCTCCTCCCGCTGATCCAAACTGGAAATGCCGCCAGCGAGGTGTCTTTGTCATGGGTCGGTGATGCACAATTATATTCTTGCCAGCAGCCATCTTCCAGAGAGAAACCCTAACAAAGCTCTTGCCTTCTGCCTCAAAAGCCCGTCTGTGCCAGTGGGCACAGCCTCGATGCTGAGCTCTGCCAGCCTTCCCGGGCAAACTCTAGAGTGGGGGGCTAACAGTGACAGACCATCTTTCTCAGGTGAGGCCAAAAGATGGCTTTAGGGATCTCAAAAGAAGACAGGCAACTTGGGATTGAGCAAGAAGAGCACCACATCCGGGGTTTGACTAGTGAGGGGCAGCTGGGTCCGAAGCAGCAAACCCCTCTCACAGCTCCGCTGGCTCCAGTCCTCGAGGCATTCAGTCCAGCAGCGGCTGCTCTCACCATGCAGAGCTGGCAATGTTCCCTTTAAAGTGGCCAGGAAGCTGGTTTCACAAGACGAAGGAAAAACCCCAACAGCCTTTAGCCCTAAGGGTAAAGTGAGAGCACTTTCAAGTTGCTGGCCTTGAATGGAAACTACTTCCATGGCACTCCTAGGGCAGGTCAAATACGGGACTCTCCGTGACGTCCGACAGGAACTATTTGCTGACCTCTGTTCCGAACCAAGTACCCTGGGCCAAGGGTAATGAGAACCAAGAAGGAAATGAGATGAATAGGGAAGGGCTTGAGGCTCTGACTCGAAAACCACTAGATGTCAAGATCCAGCAAAAAGCTTTTTGGGTGGCGAGTCACCAGTCCTGGAATAAGGGCAACCCGATGCTCGTCATGAGGTTCAAATATCGCCACTGCCTCTTCCTGTTTCCTGCCCCAAAACAACCAGCCGGGCAAACCTAGGCTAAAGAAATCCCTGTCCTTTGGGGACTGTAGTGAAGGCGTCATCATGCCGCATGCCATGTCCGTCCACCAACCGAGGGGAGTCAGCGGTCTGAGGAGAAGCACCTCCAGGACCCCGGAGATGCTGCTCTTTAATGTATCAGATAGTATTGCGTGGACTTCTTGAACGTGCTTTAGAAAGAATCCGCCTCACCTCCACGGTGAGGGAGGCCCTCCAGAGTGCATAGCATATCCTTTATTAGCCTTTGCCCTATGCACCTGATCTCCCACTGTGAAGGCCTCATGTCATGCAGTTCCTGAACTCCAGCCCAAAGCTCTGGAACCATGTAAGAAGGGTGGCTAATGACACTGGGATTGCGGATACCATCCCTCTAGGATCACACAGACACTTGTAGTAATAGCTTCCCCTGAGTCCCAGCCTAGCAACATCACATGCACTGGCTTATTCTTGTGCCTCTTTTACTGTAGGGAGAGAGTATATGAACACTGTACAAGGGCTACTAAAAAAATACAGATGCTCTCTTTGAAGAAGACCGCACCAAGGCAGAGCTAGCCAGGCTGGGTCCCAGGCTGAGGCTGCAGCAAGCAGCCTCTGTGGGCCTGAGACCAGCCTTCATGAGTGGTGGCTGCTGATGAGTCCCCGGAGCTGCTTGGCCACAGTGTCAATCAGTTTCTGCTTGTCTCGTTCATTTTTCCGAAACTGTGCAAACATGTTGTTCTTGCGGCTAGTATCCTTCATCCTAAACAGAGAAGGAAGGAAAGAGGGCAAAGAATGTAAGGGGACAATGGTGGAAGGAGACCTCGAAGGAGGTAGGGATACGATACTGCAGCTTACACGCTACTCAGAGTAGGAGAGTAACAGGAAGCTATTCTGTTAGTGCCCACAGCCTTCCCATCTCAGTCCCCGTATTCACTTACCCTCCCCACCAATTCATTCTTTTCTCTCTCCAGCTATACATCTGTTACAGGAATCAATGACATGCCATAAACTTGCTAATCTACGCGCTCTTAGGGAATATCTACTCCTGTTGCCACTGAGTCGATTCCAACCCATAGTGATCCTCTAGTGCAGAGCACAATGGCCCCAGATGGCTCCAAGGTCGTCATCTTGATGGAAACACATTGGGACAGGTAGCAGCTGGGAGATTTGAGCTGCTGACTTGCCGTTCTCCATTTAAGTGCTAAACCACGGTGCCACCAGGGTTCCATTTATCACCTCATGAGCCGACTAATCTGGGAAATCCTGCTACTGTTTCCCAGGGACTGGCATTTGAAAAGATAAGTAACACACAAAACAAAAACTCTCAACTAGCAATTCTAAGAGAATATGAATAACCCAAAGTTACTGGGTATTTCTAAACATGTCTTGAGCTTGTTCTTCTACCCCAGCCCTAACAAAGCTAAGGGCTTCGATGATCTCTCCTCTTTGTGTCAGGGTGAAAAACTCAAACTCACTGCCCTGAGTCAAGTCTGACTCACGGTGACTCTCAGGACAGAGTAGAACTGGCCCTTTGGGGTTCCCAGGCTGTGAATCTTTAAGGGATGGGTCACTCACCTTGCTCCTGTGGAGCACCTGTGTCTAGGAGCTGCTGACCTTGCGGTCATCTGTTAGACTACCAAGGCTCATGCCTCAGAGAAGGGTCTACAAGTAAGTAGGGAGGTGGCTAAGAGGGACAGTGCCGAGGAAAGCAGACCAGTCTCCTAAAGACCCCCGGAGTCCTCCGTGGTCATCTCCATCTGCAGACCTGTGGGCGTTGGAGAACTTTTTATTACTGAGTCAGGCTTACTCACTGCCATTCAGTTGATTCTGACTCCTCGTGACTCTATGGGACAGAGAAGTGCTCTTGAGGGGTTCCCAGGCTGTTTATGGGTGAAAAAAGTCTCATTTTTCTCCCATGGAGTGGCTGGTGGGTTTGAAGTGCTGTCCTTGTGGTTACCAACCCAACTGGTAACCCACTGGACCACCAGGGCTCCTGATGAGTCATGCTAAAGTTCCATAAATGTCATCTTTCTACTGCATAAGCCACAGGGAGTCTGGCCAATAGTATTACCAGGTGAAAGGCCCTAACTGCTCTAACCAAGGTCAAGGAGCGGCTGAGATGACTATCAAACCAAATTCACCGACATCGAGTCAATTCCACTCACACAGACCCCATATACAGTGTCAGAGACTTTGTCTGACAGCCTCATCTTTCTCCTGCAACGTGGCTGGTGGGTTTGAATCACTAACACCTTGCACTTAGCAGAACTCGGGCTCCTGGAGATTGTCATAGAAACATCAGACCCTAAGTCACCGTGTTGGAGGAACATGCTGTTTCTTGCAGTGAGCTCACAATCCCTGCCATCCATGGGTGGCAGTTCACCGATCCTCACCCTGCACACCAGACTTCCCAGCCAACTGCTAGTTCTACTGCCAGAAAATTTAGAACAATGCCTGGACTACCTGGATTTTAGAGCTTATCTTTTCAAGGTATACATGCTTCACAGACCACATCAGAATTATTTGCTTTGGAAACCCCACTATGAGAACCAGACTTTGCCTTACACACACCTGCTGCAGGTCAAAGGAAGTGGACGTTGAAACATCCTCCTGCGAGAAGCAGCCGAGGTCTGGCACCCCAAGGGGATGGGTTTGGAAGTCAGTGGATTTCTGGTTCAACTCTCTTCCATTTGAGGCTGCCGAATAATTGGCAACTTAAGCCTAGAGTATATCTGCTATTTTCATACTTCGTTTGCTTTTTGTGACTGTCCTGCAGACATAGTGTTGCCTTTGTGATTATGTTGTATTGAAATGCCTGCCTGTGTCTAACTCTCATTCCTTTCTTAAACCGTGTTCAATTACGTAAGTTTTTAACCTGTATAAGTGAACATCCCATGTATTGTAGTTTAATAAGCTTTCCTATATATGAATATATTCCTTTTATCAATAGTACTTTAAATTCTATACCATTGGATAGGTTAACTACCAAATGTCTCATGGAAGTTACTTACATTATTTCTCAATAAACTGATAATACTGCCACTTAAGTGGAACAAGTATATATATAAAAGTGGAACAGGTGTGTGTGTGTGTGTGTGTGTGTGTGTGTATGAATTAGTCCTTATGATCTGGTCCTGCTCAATATTTGCTCTCATGAAGTGATCTCATGAAGATATGCGTGCTATAGGAAAGTGTGGTGAAGAAATCAGCTAGTCTCTAGCTATCAAAAATAATAGTGTTTGGGGTCATAAAGGCTTGTTTTAAAACAACCAGCCATCTAAATAAGGTATATGCTAAGTCCACACAGAAGGAGTCTACGCCAGCCCATACGATGTAAGAATTGTAAATAAATGTGCTTGACACAATGGATGGATGGATTGTGATAAGAGTTGTACGAGCCCCCAATAAACTGATAAAGATAAATAAATTCTGGCATTCAATGAGGAAAAAAATTGTAAATAAACTCCAAGATCAGAGGAGGGAATTGTATTAAAATTGTATTAGTACCTGGTTTGCAGAAGGCTATGAATGATAATGAAAGCCCAAAATCCACTTGCTGAGTCCCCATGTGGATAAAATCTCTGGTGAATCCCCTCTGACCATGACCAGAGATGTGAGTAAGTCTGATCCTCAGACACAGTGCATTGGCAAGTAGATCACTATAGATGTAGTTAGCATATTATCATCTGTTTTCCATTTTGACTCACTTTTATTTATTTATTTAAAAAATTTTTTAACTAGTTTTTCATTTTATTGGGGGCTCTTACAAATCTTCTAACAACCCATCATTCAATTGTATTAAGCACATTTGTACATATGTTGCCATCAACATTTCCAAACCATTTTCTTTCTATTTAAGTCCTTGGTGTCAGCTCTTCTCCCCTCCACTCCCTCCTTCATGAATCCTGGATCAATTATATATTTTTGTTATTTCGTATCTTACACTGTCCATTGTCTCCCTTCACCCATATTTCTGTTATTCATTCCCCTGGGGGGTGGGGTGGGGTTTTATATCCAACCATGTGATTGGTTCCCCTTTTCTCCCCCTTCCCCACTACCCCTCTTCCCCTTATATTGCTACTCCCACTACTGCTCCTGAGGGTTTTATCTGTCCTGAATTCCTTGTGCTGAGAGCTTTTGTCTGTATCAATTCAATGGTTTAAATATATTAACAGTTCTTTTGTCTGTGTACTCCAGTCTGTGTACTCCAGTCTAGCCAGATTTGTAAAGTAGAACTGGGTAATGGTAGTGGGGAGGGGCGGGGGGAGGAAGAATTCAGGAACTAGAGGAATGTTGAGTGCTCTGTGGGTGCTAGACTGCTCCCTGGTTGAAATGTCCATTCCTTATAACCCTTATGTGGGGGGATGTCCAATTTTGGCTCATTTTTAATTTCAATGTCATTCCTGTTATTATCTGCTTTCAATTGGATTGAGGTTTTCTGTATTATATTTTGTTGTCATTATTCTTTGTATGATTTTTCCTTATATGAAATATAGGAGAAGAAAATCTATAGAGGCAGTAACTAGATTAATAGTTTCTTAGAGTTATAGCAGAGAAGTGTGTATGTGTGAGGGTATGAGTGTGGGAGTTAGCAATGGGAAGCTAATAATAATGGGTGCAAGCCTGAAGATGATGTTCTAAAATTGATGATTGCAGAACTTTTAATATATTTAAACCATTGAATTGTATGGCATGTGAATTGTATGTCAATAAAACTGCTTTAAACACATACACACACACACACACACACACACTAGTGCCTAGACCTCTTTCTCCCCAAGGTGGGAGCATGTCAGGACTTTTTCACCAGTTCAAGAGGCCTCACTGCACTTTGGGGCGGCCCCAAATCAGAATAGCAGAGGCGAGCAAAGAAACCTGGCACAAAGATAGACTTCTCAGGGCCTTCTGCCATCCCTGACTCATTGCTTCCTGTGGGCTGGCCCTTTGAAGAGGGGCAGATAAAGGCCAGTGGATCAAACAGCCAGAGATCCCACAGAGGCATGTCCATCCATTCGGCAAAGAGGTCTGGTGAGCACTACAGCTGGATGCCTCTGGCGACCAGTAACGCCACACCACAAATTGGGATTTCTCACTCTGCTCTAAGGTCAAAGGTCTTCAGCCTGGCATTAGTCATCAAATACTGACTAATAAAATACTGACAAATAAAATACTGAGTATAAGGTGCGATGGTGGGTGCTGTGCTCACAGGACAGAGGATAAGGTGAGGGTCCTCCAGGTGTGATGATCACTGTATTTGGTCCCTTACACACGGATTGCACAACAGTGTGTGTGGGACTGACCACATTTTAGATTATTTATCTTAGAGAAGAACTTCCTGTCACATGTGGGGCATGGTATAAACTTAAACAACAACAACAACAACAACACAAAAGAAAATGAAGGGGAAAGGGGAGGGAGGGGAGCACTTAAACTCTTGGCTGTTAACCAAAAGATTGGTGGCTTGACCCACCAGCCCATAGCCTTGAAAACCTGTCCTGTGGGGTCAGGTTGACAGCAACTGATCATTAGTTTTATGATTCTTCAAAGTAGCCCCGGACCAGGCAGGTAATGCTGGCTTACAGCTCCCATAGGGAGGGCTCCTGTAATCATATGAAAGAGAAGATGAAGGTTGTCTCTGAGGCTCAGGATCTTGTAGCCATTAATCTCTGATTAACCCCTAGAGTAGGGTTAGGCACTATAAAGATAAACTCAAGTGCCCGCGGGTGGAGAATAGCCGGCTGGTTTATATCCTTGCAATGTCCCGACACCAGGAGAGCTATCTTTCCCTCTCCCCTATGATTCCGTCAGCCCTGGATCCCGACTGGCTTTGGCTATGGCCACCTCTTAGTCATACAAGGGCATCTTCTCTTTTCTGAATGTTGGAAGTGGGTCTTAGGGCCTCTCCATGTCTCACCCTATTAAAAAGGGCCAGCTTGAGAAGGGAGAGGCTGCCTTGGGAGTACAGCTGGCTAGGGAAGATGCAGGGGTGAGTCAAGTGAAGGGGCTGATTCCTATGAGGCGGGGGATCTGGATCTCAATGGTCTGGGTGGCTGTAGTTCCACTATATTTGGCAGGCAGTTTTCAAGCCCTATTGATTGCCAGATTGAGACCCATGGCTTAGTTACTGGCTAGACCTCTGGAATGCCAGAGAGGTTATCTAAGCCTGTTGTTGGGGTCTAGGAAGTGGACAAGCCATGCCTTCCTGGATGCAGAGGCTCTCAGGAATGGAGGAGCAAAGGGTTACTGAGTGAAGCAACTGACTGCAAGGAACCCAGGCCCCAGCTGGACACAGAATAAATAAGGCCATCTAAGCACCAACTCAAAGGTCAGAATGTCCCCTGTTTCAGATGGCCACTAAGAGCTCTGTGATGCGACCTTGCTCGGAATCTGCTCTAAAGAAGAGGCTCCCACAGGCCAGGCAGGTTCTGGGTCCTAAAGCCGAAGGTCTCTCCCCCAGATGCTAGGGGAGTCTGCCAAGGAGCTTCCCTCTGCCCGAGCTGAGTTGCAGGCTCTTCTCAGGCAAGAGAATGGGCTGTGTCCGGAAGCTAAGTGGGAACAATCCTTTACCTGCCACCATGGGAAAATCTCTGCCACCACTCCCTGCCCCAAAGGAACTGATAAGCCAAAGGTCACTCTAAGGACCAAGGATAGTGGAGCCAGCAGGCCAGTGGGCTGGTTTAGTAGGTTAATATGTCAGGGCAAGGGCAACTCTCAGGGTAGGGATTTTAATGTCGTCATGTGTCACTGCGGAATCCAGAAGGACGTGCCTCGAAGTGATGGGAAAGGCCCAAGTAAATAATAGACTTACTCTCCAGATACCCTGGGGAGGAAGGTCATGGGGAGAGAGAACCATGAGAAACAAAGTTAACAAGGAAACATCAGTTTCTTTCTTGCTCAGGAAAAAGTTGCACTCTGGGCTCTTAACATCTTGGATACAAAGGCATATTCTGCATCCGGCTCTTGCCTGCTCTTTTATCTCCTTCCTTTCTTCGCTATCACGTTATGTAGCAAGAAGTACACACTTTAAGCATCTTCTCCTACTTAAAAGTGCCACTCTGGCCTTCTGCACAGGGTGTTGTGCCTTGCCAGTATGTGAGACCTGTTTGGCCCTGACTGCAGACTGGCTGCACCTCCCAGATGCACGCAACACAACTGTGGCTAGGTCCTGAGAGCATTTTAGAGCCCTTCCAAGATGTACCTCCTACACAGCTGCAAGTTACCTACTGCAAGAAATTATGACCCTTTCACTGACAGATCTTGGTGTCTGGCAAGTTTTCAACCAGCTTAGTAAATGCCATAGACAGGTTGTAATGCATGGTGGCTACCCGCATGTGGTTGACAAGCTGGTTAGCTGTAAAATGCTCTAGAACTGGTTAACTCAATCTCTGTGATAGCACCTCTCCTTCAGAGACACAATTTTTCTGTCTAGTGACTGTCTCGACAGGTAAGAATGAGACATTGTCTCCCAGCAGAGCTTTTGTGGGCTAGTCAACATCACAAAGCTAAACCTGGAGGGAGAGGGCATGAGGAGAAGGCTTCAGTCCTTCCTGCTAGGAATCAATGCAGTCACCTGGTCTGTGGGCGGCTGTTCCTCATCAGATTCCAAGTGACTCCTTCTGTTCACCAGGAGGCCTGAGTTTCAGGCTAAGGCACCTTTCCTTCTTATTCTGTCATCCCTAGAGACATGATGCTCCCACGAGGCTGCAAGGAGTTTAATCCTGACCTACTCTTGGCCTACCTGTGGGGCCTCAAGAATTAAGAGGAAGACGGGCCGGTCTCATCAAAACATAGACTGTTCTTAGCATCTAAGGGCAACTTCAAGAAAGGTGATCTCTTGCCTTTACAAGATATTGGCAAAAGGATAGTCCCAATTCCCTAATCCCACTCTTCCTCCTCTCGGGAAAGACCACTGGGTTGAATACTCACTTCTCAAGCAGGGTCAGAGCTGTGACTGGGTTTACTCGGAGGTACTTGCAATTGGGTTGACCATAGTCAGCAAGGTAGGTTGACCAATCCCACTGGATGAAGAGATCCAAAAGCTGTAAAACATCCAAGTCCCGGGCCCAGGGATTAGTCAAGACAGACAAACAAACCAAGATCCCTATCTCACGACCATTCTTTTTCACCAGCGAACCCTTGCAGTGCGGTGCTTGCACGCTGAACTGCCAATGGAAGGAAGTTCTGGGGGAGAAAGACTGGGCAGTCTGCGGTCACACGGACGGGCAGCCTGAGAGTCCGGTAGGGCATTAACTCCTCCACTGTCCTCACCGGGTGGGGATGGCTGGAATCAACTTG